TATTACTGCTGTTGTTTCCTTACTTAGAATGTAAATTCCATGTATGAAAGAACTTTTTAGTTTGCTGCTGCATTTGTAGTTCTCAAAAAATTCTTATAATCATAATAGTAGTAAATGTCTGTGTCCTCAACTTCTCAATAAACTAACATTGAAGCCTTCAGTGTTAATGTATTGGCAAAAATGTGGGACTTAGGAAGATTAAGAATGATATCCAGCTGAGTGCTGGATATCATTTTTTGTCAGTTGTGGGGCCTGAACTCTGGGCCTGGGCGCTATCCCTCAGCTCTTCAGCTCAATGCTAGTGCTCTACCACTTGAGCCACAGCACCACTTCCGGCTTTTTTCTTTTTGTTTATGTGGTGCTGAGGACTCAAACCCAGGGCCTCATGCATGCAAGGCAAGCACTCTACCACTGAGCCACCTCCCCAGCCTGGTAACTTACATCTTTAACTCTAGCTGTTTCAAGAGGATTGTGGTTCAAGGCCAGCCCAGGCAGAAAAAAATTTAAGACCCTTATGTCCAAAGTAAGCAGCTGAAAGGAGGGCTGGAAGCATTGCTCAAGTGGTAGAGTGCTAGTTTAGCAAGTATGAGGTCCTTAACTCAAATTCCAGTACTACTTCCCCCAAAAGAAAGAAGCAAAGAATAATAACCAGAGAGATACATAAACCAGGAGGCTGTGATGTATCAGAAACAAGGTGAAGAAACATTAGGAGAGGAAACAAAGTAAAAAGGGGTGGAATAAAGGGTCAAAAGAAAATGAAACTACAAGATAATTATTACATTTTGTCTCAGGGAACCTCATCTTTTGCTTTTGCTGTCCTGGAAAATAAAGTTTATCTTTCCTGAAAAGCGTTTTTAGTAAAATGAATGGCTGCTCAGAATAAATCTTTGGAAATATGATTTAAGAGTTTTCACCTTTGCATCGCCAACCTCCAAAGAACAAACCAGTCTTATACTTACTTAGTCTTGTCCAGAACCACAAAGAGCTCATCCTCAATACAATTCAGTATGCTTTCCCTGACCCCAATTCTCTTCTTGAATCAAACAACAAAACCTTCTGTTTATGCCTACATGGCACTTTGAAGAATGCTTTTCTCTCTTCCTTTTATACTTCTTCAAAAGTAAACAGCTAGGTTCTGGTGGCTCACACCTGTGATCCCAGCTACTCAGAAGGTTGAGATCTGAGGATCATAGTTTAAAGCAAGCCCAGGGACTTGAGTGCACGAGACTCCTATCTCCAATTAAGCACCACAAATCTGAAGTGGAGCTGTGGCTCAAGTAGTAGAGCATTAGCCTCAAGCAAAAATAAACAAAAACAAAAGCTCAGGAACAGGGCCCAGTCCCTGAATTTGAGCCCCTAGCCCACATCCTTCAAAAAAAGTATAGGTTCAAAGACAACCCAAGAAAAATAGACAAAGGATAAGAAAAGACATTTTTTCAAAGAAGATATTCTAATGGCTAGTAGGCACATAAAGAGATGTCTTATATTATTAGTTATTAGGAAAATGCAAACCAAACTACAATTTGCCACTATTTCCCACTAACTGGAATATCTATAAACAAAAACTTGATAACAGGCATTATTAAAGATATAGAGAAATTGCAACCCTCATAGAGTGCTCTTAGGACTATAAAATGAGACAATCACTTGAGAAACCAGTCAGGTGGTCTGTCAAAAAATTAAACATATGTTACAAGTTATAATATGAGTTAGCAATTCTATTCCTTCGTGTATACACAACTGTTTTGTTAACAAGTATTTATAAAACTTCATATATGAATATTTATTGGAAAATGACTCACAATAGCCCAAAATTGGAAATAACTCAAATATCTATTAGCTTGTGAATGTGTAAACAAATGGGGTATATTTACACAGTAGAATACTATTCAGCCATAAAAAGGACTGAAAACAGTTTGAGTGATGTTAAAATAATAGAACAAGGGACATCAGGTTTCTGTGAATGGTTGTAATTATCTAGTGTATAAAGCTAAAATTCTTTACATGACTCATAAGGCCTCTGAAACTGTAGCCCCTACCCATCTGCTATGAACTGAATTGTGTGTTTTAAAAGTCTTATGTTGAAATCCTTATCCCCAATACATCAGAATGTGTTTCAAATTGGCAGTGGGATCATTATAAGTACAATTAGGCACAATAACATCATTTAAGTTAGACCCTAACCTAATTGCTCTCTCTATAAAAAGGAGAAGTTTGGATACAGAAACACACACAAATGAAGGTGAAGGTGAAGGTGAAGGAGGACATCACAGTTCTATTTCAACAGGCCAAGAAATACCACAAATTGCTGGCAAATCATCACAGCTAGGACAGACAGAAGGAACAGTTTTTTTCTCATTTCTCTCAGAAGAAACTAACATAGCAAGCAATGTGATGTCAAACTGGTAGTCTGCAAAATAGTGAGAGAAGGTTTTGCTGTCTAAGCCACTTAGTTTGTGATACTTCATTTTAGTAGCCCTAAAGAGCTTTACATATACCATATTTTCGGTCTCATCTATCATCACTTTGCCCTTACACTTTATGGTCTAGCAACACACTTTCTTTGTAAGTCCTTTCTACATATCAGAAGTCTTTTTGCTTTGACTGTATGTTATTCTTTGCCCAGAATGCCTCTCTGCCTTGGTAATTCCTACTTATTCTGTAAGATTCAGAGAAGCTATTGCTGCTTTCTAGATCTGTTTGGAGTAACAGGCTTGTGTAAGTACCCTTCCTAAGTATTTCCACTCATACCCTGATAATTTTATGTTTCCACCCCCACTCAATAAACTAAGTTTAATAAGTTAAGTGTATCCCTCCCCCACTCAATAAACTAAGAACTTTCTGATGAAAGGGTTGCTCAAATCGCAGTGCCTGGCATGGTGTTCTATGTACATAATTGATGCTCAGTACATACTTCTGAATGAATTACTTTCTTTTTTGGGGGGGGGTCCGGTTATGGGGCCTGAACTCTGGGCTTGGGCGCTGTCCCTCAGCTCTTCAGCTCAAGGCTAGCGCTCTACCACTTGAGCCACAGCACCACTTCCGGCTTTTTTCTTTTTGCTTATGTGGTGCTGAGGAATCGAACCCAGGGCCTCATGCATGCAAGGCAAGCGCTCTACCACTGAGCCACCTTCTCAGCCCCTGAATTACTTTCTTTTCAGAATTCATTTTTCTGTTTTCCGATGGCATCTACTAAAATGCTTTGCAGGTGGAGGGTACTGAGTACATTTTGACATGCTCAACTGGGAATATTTGGCACTATATCTGGAGATATTTTAGTTGTTAAAACTGGGGAAATGCTACTGGCTTTTTGTGAAAAGATGCCAGAGACACTATTCTACATCCTACCAGACAGCCTCCCCTCCATAAATAAATATCCTATCCAAAATAGCAGTGTTGTGGAAAAAACCCAGATATTGACTGAAAACAAGACTGAATCTACATCCAAGTAGAGATGTCAAAAAAAATAGAGCCCAATGAAGCTAGCTCTCTGGGTAGAATTATTTCATTACAATTATGGCTGTATAGATGGTATAGCCAAGTGAGTAAAGGGATCAGTTAAGGAGAGAATATGTTCATTCTCATACTGAGAATGATTTGCCCAGATCAGACAGCAGAAGAAGAACCTGTAAAGGAGGGGACAAAGGTATAGGAGGAAAAGGAAGAATCTTATAGATACCACAGGAAGTGTTTCAAGAAGGAAATGGTTCATAGTGTTAAATGTAGGGGAGAGGTCAAGCAAGGTAAGGACTGATAATGCTTAATTAATTAATTAATTAATTGGGATTTATTCACCAAAAGGCCATTGGTTGGGTATCTTGTTAACTTGCTTCATTGGAAAATAAGCCAGATCTCTGAGGCTTGAGGATTGAATGAGAAGAAAATAAAAATTCTAAACACACTTGCAAAATATATTTTCAATAAAAAAGGATCTAGAGCGGGAGCTCATGTGGAGACAAAATCCATCCATCTATCTATCTGTCTGTCTGTCTGTCTGTCTATCTATTTATCTCTCTATCTATCTATCTATCTATCTATCTATCTATCTCTCTATCTATCTAAAATAGTAGAAAGTTGAGCAGGTTGGTGATGACTTAGATTTGAGCATGCTTAGTGGGTCATATGAAGGAAGAAGGGAGAAAAGAAAGAGAAGGTCTGTAATTAGCGTACAGATATAAAGAAATATTTTAGTGTACTGATGTATGCTTTCTAAAAGGGTTGTTTCCTTTTAAAAAATTAAAATGTTAAAAACAGAAGGGCTACAATTACATAAATCAGGCCAAGAGTGTATTTCTTTTTGGATAACGCCACCCTTTCCCTCACTCTAAAAGGGTTTTCAGCCAACAGACAGTAGCCACTATGGTGTTTGATGGTTACTTATTCTTCATTGTTAGTTTTTAAAAACCCACAAAACTGGTACTGAATGTCATTACTGTGTTAATTTTTGATCTTCCTTGGTTTCCAATGAGTTGAATATTTTTATTAATAGTGTCTTTTAAACTATGTCCTTTGTCTAAAACATTTCTATTTTATACATTTTAATTTGCCACACCGAGTCAAAAGTCACAGCCAGAATGATACATATCTTCTCGCAACACAGTTACGATTCTTTCATTTTCTTAGAAGTTTTTGGCAATATGACAAGTTTTGGCTTAATGAACAGAAGTAGGTGACTCTATGGAGTAAGAGCTAGAGCACAATTGGAAGTCATTGAGGAAGGCGGGGGGGGGGGGGGGGGGGGGAGGGAGCGGGAGGAGGGGAAGGGCAGCGGGGAGCAGTGCGGGACGCTGGCACTCAAAATCTTAAGAACCCCCAACCCCCACCCCAGCTTCCTCTCTTCACTGAGGAAGCCCGAAAGTTTGGGCTGCCAGTACTCTCCTTTATGCTTAGTAGCCCCCTACTAGGGATCCCAGAATGGTGTACGGCCCCTTTAAGAGTCCAGCTCCTCCCAGCTCCAGGGAAAGTTGCAGCTTTTTCCGCCTCTTCAGAGGGTGAAAAGCGCCGGCTGGCCAAGCAGGGTTGCGGTCCTTCAGAAGCTGGAGACCCTCCCTCGAATCCTGCATTGGGACTTCTAGTCTTCTCCCGCTACCTGTTGCTGGTGACAGGTAGGTCCTCAGCCAACTGCCGTCCCCTCACTCTCGTTGTGGGACCTAATTTTTTGGGTCCCCGCCCCTTTTAGCAGCTGACTCGCCCCCACCCCCATCCTGGGGACCTGCTGGCGTCTGGTCTTCTCGTCCTTGCCTCAGTCTGTTTTTCTCTTAAGCTTACCTGTTCCGTACTCCCAGTTTGCCTCTCCCGGACCGCACCCCGGCAACCTCTCACGCATTGACTCGCGTCTGCCTCGGGCCGTCCTTCTTGGGCACTTTTCATTAATTTCAGGCTTCTTTTGACCAGTTCCCTCGCTTTCCCTTAGTGAGCACGGACCGGTTGTCCCTCTGGGAGCTGTCTCATTACTGTCATTCCTGTCCCGGAATGTTCTGACTTTTCCCGCCAGCCTAAGCGCCTCTTCGCGCTGGCTCAGGGGGCTGGGGTGGAGCCCAGGTCGCCGACACTTCCACTCACCTTCTCATGAGTTCCTCTCGCAGCACTCGGCCATCACGCGGGGTGTCTACCCGGTATTGTTTCACACGGAGCCTTGGCACTCCAGACATCAGCGTCCCTGCTTTCCTTGGCCTCGACTCATTACCCACAGGTAGAAAAAAAAAAAAAAAAGCTGGAGGTCTCTTGTGTCCCTAGTCTTGTCTCAGTCGTCTGTCTTTCTGCTTGGAACAGGGGGAACCAGGTGGGTGTGGTGGAACTGAACTACTTTATCTTGCTGCCCTTCAAGCAGGCTGTGGGATTTGCTCTCCAAAAAGCCCTCAGAAGGAGCATACTCTCCCTTAGATCCCCTGTAATGTTTTGTAAAGTGGTAGAAAAATGTATTCATCTAGCCTGTGACATTGGATAAGACGGGGCTACAGTGATTAAATCACTTGGTTGCACATTTGACTGGCTTCAAAAACAGGTATGTTTCACATTTGCCCACCATTTTGACCCTAGTACTTTTCTGCTTCAGGATCATAGGACCTAGAATTCCACAATACTCTTTTTAGCAGGGTTGAACCTAGACCTTGTAAACATTTATGGCAGAAATTAGTTTTCAGTATATCTTGGACTTCTAGTTTTAACTGGCTGCTTTTCTACTTTTTCCAGCTCCCCATCCCCCATCACTTCTAAATTTATGACTATTAAAGGATTAATCACCTAAAAGGTTTTCCCACTACAGGGAGAACAATGTTTGTTTGATGCAGAATTAGAGAGTAGTGAGACTGATGAAGTTTTCTTGTGACAGTGTGTGTGTGTGTGTGTGTGTGTGTGTGTGTTTGTGTGTTTGTGTGTATACCTCAACAAGCACTTATAGATATCCTTAGTAGGAAAAGTTCACTGATTTGGTTTGTGAGATCCTTCTTTGGATGGCAGATGAACATTTCTGGCAACACAATTTCAGATCAGATGGGGAAATGGAATTTGGAAGCCTGTTCTCGGGTAATTGACCAATGAGTTTTTGCCTTCTGATCAATATTCTGAGTATTTCTGCTCACAAGCTACTGCTAATAGTGGTTGTTAGAATTAATTGAGCCAGGCATGGTAATAAGTTACTTACATAATTATCTCACGAAGCACTCAAGAAAAAAATGTGCAGTAGGTGCTACAACTATAACCATGTTATGATGACAAGGACATTGTGAGATATTTAAGTGCCTTGCTCCAAATCACACTTTGATGGGAGGCAGAACATCTGGTCCTAGCCTGCCATGGCACATCTATTGTCTTGGATGCAGGAAGATTAATAGCTCATGCATAAGGATCACGGGAGTAAAAAAACAAAAAACAAAACAAAACAAAACAAAAAACCATCACTTCTAACCCGAAGCACAAATTTTGGCCTTCAATTCCATCTTATACTGTGAAGACTTTGGATCACTTACTGTGATAATGTCTTACCACATTGCCACTTTGTCACTGTGAGAACATACCCCTGAGTAAAAGCTCTTGGGCTGTCAGCTCAGTGGTAATGGTTTTGAAGTTAGGATAGAGTACCCTTGGATTTTAGGGAAGTATGGTTTGGTTCGAGGGATGTGCACCTGACTCAACTTCTTTACCTAATGATAAAGGAAGAAAAGAGTATATAGTAAGCGGGAAGGATTTCCTAATAGCTGTACTGGAGAACCTGAAGGTGAGGATTGTGTTTGTTTTTTATCATGGGATGGATGGGGTACCTTAGACCAGGATAATAAAAAAGAAAATATGCTGTCCAATCCCACTCCTGGAACTTGGCTTAAATTGTTCTCTTTTTCCTTCTGGGAAACTTCTCACTTATTTCCCTTGCCCCACTGTTATTATTTTTGGTTGTGAGGCTACTGGAGATTTGAACTCAGGATCTCATGCTTGCTAGACTTGGCAACACAGTGGTAAGTCATGCCTCTAGACCTGTTTTTACTATTTTTAGGATAGGGTCTTGCTTCCCACCCAGCCATGTACCTGGGCTGCCATGCACGTACTTTAGGCTTCCCATCGTCCCTAGTATCACAGGTAGAAGCCACTGTGTCCAGCATTCTTTCTATATAGATGGAATCTCATAAACATTTCTTCCTGGAGCTGTCCTGGTACCATGAAACTTCCAATCTCAGCTTCCCATGAAGGTTGAGGTGATAGGCACAAGCAGTATACCAAGCTATAGGTGGAGAAAGGATCTTGTCAACTTTCTTGTTGTGCTGCCCATAACCTTGATCCTCATATGCTCCATTTCCCAAGTAGCTAGAATTGCAGGCATGGGCCACTGGACCAGCTCCCCCACCATTAATTCTTTATTCTGTTTTTGTCGCTGTTCCAGGGCTTGAATCCAGGACCTCTTATTTGGCTTTTGGGATTATGGCAGCCATTCTACCACTTGAGCCACACCTCCACTTATGGCTTTTTACTGCTTAATTAGAGAAAAGAGTCTCTTGGATTTGTATACTAGGCTGTCTTTGATCCTTAGTCCTCAGATCTTAGCCAACTGAGTTGCTAGGATTATAGATGTGAGCCACTGGTGCCCAGCTTCCTACCATTATTTCTTATTTATCTCTCATAATTTAGATCTGATGTCACTTCTTTCCCTCATGCAGAATTACTATCCTGGGTCTTAAAGCACTTTGTCTACACCTCAATAAAACCTTTAACACCATTCTTTGTTGTTTGTTCACTTGGAAAGTTATAACCTGTCTAAAGGCAAAAGCTGGATCTTAGATTCCTTCCTCTTAAATGTAAGAGCTTAACAAATATTAGTGTTAGGAATTGGTGATATCATGCCTTCAAGGGATTGAGGTGGGATTGAAGTACAGATGGCATCACCTTGAGGTACTTGAAATCCCATAGTTCAGAGTTTACCTATCAATGTTATTATTATTTTTTTTGGTTGGTCCTGGGGATTGAACTCTGGACTTGGGCACTGTCCCTCAGCTCTTCAGCTCAAGTCAAACACTCTACTGCTTGAGCCACAGAGCCACTCCAGTTTTCAAGTGGTTTATTGGAGATAAGAGTCTCACGGACTTTCCTGCCTGGGCTGGCTTTGAACCGTGATCCTCAGGTCTCCGCCTCCTAAGTAGCTAGGATTGCAGGCATGAACCACCAGCGCCAGGCTCAATGTTATTTTTTTATTGCAAAGCATTCCCTGAGCACCGTATTTAAACTTGCCATTCTCTTCCTGAACATTCTTTATGCCCCTGTCCTACCTACTTGCATTTTTTTTTTTTTTTGCTTATTGTTTGTTTTCCTTGCTCCCAGAACATAATCCATATGGATAGAGACTGCTGTCTGCTGTATCCACTGACTGGTCCCAGGAACCAGAGCAGTGTCTGGTACCTCAGAGGTGCTTTTTAAATGAATTAATGAATGGCTTGACCATTCTAGGAATTGGCACCTTTTTTTGTACTCTCCTGGACCTAAAACTAAGCCTACCCAGTTGGTCACCTTACAGTGTAAGGTTGTCCCAGGCCCAGTTCTCACCTGGCTTTCCTTCTCCTGACTTTTGCATTGAGATTGCATGTCTGATGATAATTGACCTACTTTGACATGCTCTCTCTCTCTCTCTCTCTCTCATATACAATTATCTGAGTGGAACCTTTTAAATTTTAAAAGTGAAAATGTAAAGATACTATGCTTCTTGATGATGCAGCTTCTTAGGGAGGCTACAGTGGGGGCAGGAGGCTGTGCATGAGCAAAGAGGTTGGAGAACCAGCTCAAAAGAACAGAAGATGCCACAAAATCAGGCCTCAATCACCATTAGCCTTCTAGGTGTGAAGAGGAGAGTATTTCGATTTTGAGCTTTATATAAAAGCCATAGCTGAGTGCTCTGTGTGCATAGTACTTGCCTGGGTTACTTACTAGGGTTACGAAGAGTAAGGAAACCACTATGAGTCAAAGTAAAACAATGTTACTTTGTTTAAATGTGTCTTTGAGAGAGAAAAGGGCTAGGATTCTTTTAAAGACAATCTTGGAGGAAGATGGCCCTGGAAAAATTGGTAACTATGTGATTTTTACTGTTTAATATTTGGCAACTTCTTATTTTAATTAATCACTTAATTATTTTTGTACCCTTGAATTTTTAGTCAACATACCTTTGTAATATGAGCAAATTTCTTTGTGATATTTTCATATCTGTACACTGTGCACTTAAATTCATTCCAACATATTACTGTTCTTTCTTGTATTTTGTACCTTTTAAAAATACCCTTCAATCTTCTTTGAAACTTAAGTTTTTGCAAAAATATGCCTAGACTTTTCTGTTTATCTCTCCAGACATTGAATATTGGAGTGATCTAGATCTCAGTATGTGCACTTTCCTCCATCCAAAATCTTCCTAGAGGTTGTTATCCAATTAACATCTATCCAGACATACTGATCACTCTCAAATTTCTGTCTGACCTAAACCTTTCATTTAAGCTGCAGTCTCATATGTTTCGTAACCTATGTGACAGCCTTTGCTTTTTCTACCAAATAGATAGCTCCAACATAGTATGACTAAAATATGATTTCTGATTACCCTTGTTCCTTAAACCCATCTTATCTTCCCTAATCTATTTGG